CACATGATCTGAAACATCAGCTGAAACACCTCGAATGTCTTCAGAGCTGATTGTGTTATTAGGTGCGTTCGACTTCATGCGGCGCCGTGCAAACCGATCGGCGGCTGACTTGAAGCAGTGCATGCCGGTTAGAAATTTTGTCCGACTTGAACCGGCGCCGACGCCACGTCACTGTCACGTGTGGCATCAAAGTACCGCGATAGCGTTTCGAGAGCAGCCGGCTGACTCAGCTGGCGCAGCTTTTTCAGAGCGACTGCAGGAGCGCTGATGACGACACAGCTGTTTCACGATTGGCCAGATTCACCGCATGACAACTATCACGTGTGTTTCGGGTTTATTCTAACCTTTTCAATTCCAATAATAGCCACAAATCTGTGTTTTTAGAACAGTAAAAGCTTTTTTACTGTAGTCGCAATGTTATGTTGAGTCACGTTTATCATAAAACACTGATGAAAGCATATATTCCCCCACTTTATTAGTATTTAAATAGTATATATTTACATTGAACTTTATTCTTGAACAGATGGCGTTGTATTAAGCAGTATATAATCAGTATATCTGTTGCTCATGAAAACGTTTCTGAAACGTCTGTATATTTGACAAATATTGCATTTAATTCACTTCATCTGTGATAGAGTATGCAAACACCGTGAGAGCGTCACTAACGGGAGCAGAAATGTCCGGCTTGACAGCTCCGTTTTCAACTCCGCCCCCGACTGCAAGCGGCTACTCTCATTGACTGCCGTCTGTAGCGGTGCTTCAAGTCGAACGCACCTAATGAGAACAAGACACATGAACAAAAGGACCACATGGCAGGATCACATGACAGGGTCAGGGAAACACATGACAAGTCAGGAACCAAGACAAGAAAATACAGAATAAAAGACAAGAAAACCTAAACAAGATTCAAAAACCAGCGTGACATACATTTATATTCATATATGTATTCATGTATGAAATCATAATCTGTCCACCATTTTCTCAATAAATCTGTTTTACTCAGAAAAACAGAAATCAAGTGAGCTCAAAATGGGGTTCTACATTGATTTTATATTTTAATTTTAGATTATAACATCCATAAAGCTCAAGGAACCATAAAAGCAATTACCTATAATTACAGAAACAAGGACTATTTCATTTTCACATCAAAATCAAAGCTTCAACCGAAACCCATCTCTCTCCAAGAAGAAGGTAGTAAAGCACAGTCAACAAAATATGAATATTTCATGAAATCTGCTAATCTCTCAGGCATGCGTGCCAACAATCTGCCATGCACTTAACACCCAGCCCCGCTGGACTCGTCACCGCCACCGCCGCACGAACACACGCACGTCTTCTAGGTCTGACACAGTCGGGCAGAAGCGAGCCTTGCCCAAGCTGCCTATGGGCACACTGAATCATACATAATTCTGTAGCTGTGAGTGTACTTAGCTTCCCTGCATCTCTGTCTGTCTCTGCCAGGTTTAAATGCTCGCGTATTTACCGCATTTGCTTTTCCAAATAATTATTTCCCCGGCCCTGCTCTCTGCAGGCTCATTTCCTTTTAATCGAGCCACTCAGGAGAAATAACAAACGGCAGAATACATTTGTATTCCGACTAATAAGTGCAGATGCTAATAGAGAAAGAGCGAGAGAAAGGAGAAACAATGAGAGGGAGAGGAAAGAGAGGAGAAACGCAAAGCCACACTGCAACCATTTCAAGGATCAGTGCTTTTTGCTCTGTCGCACTGTCCCACGCACAACATAAAGGCATGCATATTTACGATCCCACGGCCCTCAGAGAGTGGTTAAGTAACCCAGAGAAATGGGAGATGCCGGGTGGTGAGTTTTAATGACCTTGAAGAGCTGAACGCTGATACATTTCCTACCATCTTTCATTTGCATTTTTACGCGGGATCAGAAAAAGACCTTGGGAGGTTTCACTCTTTGTGAAGAAAGAAAGACATTTCTCTAAAGCAATGTGGATAAAGAATAACACTAAAAAATTAATCTGAAGAATCAAGTGCTTTAAATTCAGTGAAAACTGTACGATTTGATCTGTCCTTTACATATTTTGCTTGTTTGATACGACCCTGGTGAGATGCATAATAGTCTTAATGTATATGATATACATATTAGTTATGACTTTGGTCTCAAATAAACAGCACTGACTGGCCATTTGTATTTCATAACACCATTTTGAAATTTCATAACACAATTGAAATATGACCGAAATATAAACCCAAGCATGTCATTATGCTAAATTCAGTAATACTATGTCTTTATTTTTTATTTATTTTATTTTTTTTAATTATTATTATTTTTATTTTTACAAAAGCCCTTTGTCACGGGGCGAAAGTGGGCATTTGTCAACTGCTCATTTTTCAGGTCATTTTGATCAATTATAGCGTGAAGGCAATAATTATATTTAAGGAATTCATCAAATAAAATTCAAATCATAAAATTCTACAGTATATTCTCCAAATATATTAAAGTTAAAACATTTAAAATTAAATAAAGTTTTAAATTCTACAATAAATTATATATTACCATTCAAAAGGGTCTGTAAGATTTTTTTATTTAAGAAATTAATATTATTCAGCAAGGATTCAATAACTTGATCAAAACTGACAGTAAAGACAATTATAATGTTAAAAAAAATCTGTTTAAATAAATGCTGTTGTTTTAAACTTTCTATTCACCAAAAAATACTGAAATATCATGGTTTCCACAAAAACATTAAGCAACACAACATTGATAATAATAAGAAATGTTTCTTGAGCAGCAAATCAGCATATTAGAATGATTTCTGAAGGATCATGTGACACTGAAGAGTGAAGACTGGAGTAAAGATGCTGAAAATTAAACTTTACCATCAAAGGAATAAATCAAACATATTGAAATCGGAAACCGTTCTTTTAAATTGTAATAATATTTAACAATATTACAGTTTTTACTGTATTTTAGATAAAATAAATAAGAGACTTCTTGCATAAGAGACTTCTTTCAAAAACTTTCAAAAAAATTATTTAAAAAAATATTGATTTGCTTAAAGGGGTCATATGATGCTTTTTTATAGATCATTATTTGGTGTATTTGGTGTAACAGAATATGTTGACATGCTTTAATGTTCAAAAAACAAAATCGCATCATATGACCCCTTTAAGATTTATCTGAGATTTTCTAAAGATTTACATTATTAAATGATTGGCATTTTAAAGCGTTAGATAACACAAAAGGGTAATTTGAGTTTGCACAATTACTTATCCATTACAGATACGCATGCATGCAAATAAAAGAGACCAGAGGGCAAAATCATGACCAAAATCATACAGTGTGCACCGGGCAGATGTTGGCATTGGTGATTTGTGCGTGCCACGTCTGTCTTTCTTGATTTCGATTCTAAAAATACGTCAAGAGAACAAATGTCTTTGTTCTTAAAGGGTTAGTTCACCCAAAAATGAAAATTGGCTTGTGTTTTACTCACCCTCGAAGCGGATGACGCAGCACGTATGCACAGTGCGCGCCTCTGAGATATGCTAGTCTCGCGAGTTTGTTTGTAGGAGCAAAGGAAGCAAAGTTTCCTTACTTTAGCAAAGGAAAACCAGTCTCCTCTTGGTTTATATCGAAATCCTCCGACATTTTTCTTTACAAATCCTCGTTTTGTACTTCTAATTCGTGACTGGCATTTTGTTTTGTTCTCTCTCCACATTTGTCACTAATCACGCAATGCATACGTGCTGCGTCATCCGCCGGAATGGCTTCAGTGTATGACAGTCAGCAGAAGTGAGAGAAAATTGTTTATTACATTTGAAATATGGATATTTTTCTTATGAAAACACATGGATTCACTACAGGAGGCCTTTAGAATCAGAATCAGAATCAGAATCAGAAGAGCTTTATTACCAAGTATGTTTACACACACAAGGAATTTGACTTGACGACAGGAGCTTCCAGTGTAGAAGAAAGTACAAACATAGTGCAGACATACATGATAGTGCAGACACACATAGGAATAACACAGTAGGGATGTAATATAACACTAATATAATAAAAAAAAGAAAAATTGAATAATGTACTATATACAGAAATAGAAGTATAGGAACAAAAGTAATTGTTTAGATAAACTTTGTTAGTCTGTTCCTGGCCTGGTTGTACAAGATTTTATCCCCACATCTGTAAGCATCCTCTCTGGCGTGACGAAGCTGTTTGAGTTTCCCAGTAAACCACGGTTTATCATTATTAAATGATAAGAATGTCCTGGTAGGAATGCACATATCTTCACAGAAACTGATATATGAAGTTACAGTCTCTGTGAGCTCGTCCAGATCGGTGGCTGCAGCTTCAAAAACACTCCAATCAGTGAGGTCGATTTATTCACGTGTGAGGGACGTTTTATTATGGATGCGCGCACTTTATTTGATGACTTGTGGACTGTTCAACTGCAACACACGCTGACTGCAATGATTGAGCTTGAAATAGCCAGGACAATTTTTAATATAACTCCGACTGGATTCGTCTGAAAGAAGAAAGTCATATACACCTAGGATGCTTTGAGGGTGAGTAAAACACAAGCTAATTTTCATTTTTGGGTGAACTAACCCTTTAAGCACACAGTGTACTTTGTTCTTCCCTTCACAGTTCTCAATGTCTTTGCCGCGTCTTAAAGTCAAGAGCCCAATCCGCTCTATGGTAATATGGCATACTTGAGGTGTACTTGATTTTTCAGTGGAAGAAGATAAGAAATGCAACTGAAATAGAACTGTGCGGTCATATCGGGTTGGATGGCTTTTAAAAGATTGATGCTCAGGCTTGTTCTATAGAGAGTTGAGCATATACTATCATACTAGCTTATTCCATTTGGTACACCTAAAAATATGCACATACTTCCTTTGTTCTATAATAAAAGCACTCACCTGAGATGCATCTCCGTTGACTGGGGTCTTTTTGAGGCCGTGCCATCTTGTAACACCGCCACCCTGTCTTGTGTAAGAGGGGCGTCCCGTACCGGGAGGGACAGGACAAGTGTTTCCTTGGTGACAGTGAGAGCCTCCTCACCTGTCCGGCCCATGTGCTGCTTGGCGTAGTCGAAACCCTGCACGGGCTGGACGGGAAATGATGCGCCGTGATTGGACAGGGGAGAAGAAAGTAAGAGTTACACAATGCGGCATCGGGCATTTTATTTCAATCAGCAGAGGAATGCTGGCCATCCTAATTTATTCATGGGCTGAAGGTGCTTTGAGTCTAACTATATTTCATGGAGCCCGCATACGATGCATCATGTTGCCATGGGATATTTAATATGGTAGAGCTATGGAGCCCCTCGTTTTAATGAATTATGGATCAATCTCCTGCAGAACTGAGCACATGGAGGCAGGTTGCCTGTTGGATCTTTAAAAAAAATGTATATTCATGTCACTGTTATCATGTAAATGGGGAAAATGTGTGATTAATTCGATTAATAATTCATGAAAGGTTGCGCTTTGCACGTGCTGTTGTCACATCTACAAGATCTATTAGTGAGGTGTATCATTTCTACACCGTGTGTGTCATCAAGCAGAATTGCAAAATAATTATGATGAATGTGCAATATTAAAATTCTATTAATATTTATATTAAAAGTCTGACATGCTGATAATTATTTTCATGGAATAGTTGATAACCAATAAATAACCAATATTAAAATTGTATACAATTTTGTAATAAATTAAAAATAAAACACAATAAAAAAGCACCAATCATAAAAATAAAAAAAATCCTTCTAAAAAAATATCAATCATTCTAAATGCTATAATGGAATCAGAATAATTTAATATATTTTATTTAATAATTTGTGGTTAATTATATATACAAACAATTAAATTTAATTTATCAATGAAATTATTAAATAAATTAATGAATTTAAATGTATTTATTATTTGTTTAAATTTGTATTATATATATATTATTAAAAACAATTATATATTTGTATAATTGACCTTATAAATAAATTGTATATATGATTGATTTTAAAGCATTTAAAAATAATTAATAAAATGAATAAATTAAATTACATTACATTTTAATATCGGTTGGTACTGATTTATTGTGCATTACTAGCTAAAATGTTTTGACGACACCAAAAAGAAACAGCAAAAGTTCTGGGAAAAGCAGTATGATTTCAGTATCATCTTCCTGAGCGTTCTCTATTGGACATTGACCTTGAATGAGGTCAGATCCCATCCAAATATATTTCACATGCTCAGCTGAACTATAATTCACTCATGCTCCATCTGATTGTATTTGAGAGGAGCCTTTCACTGGCTGACGTGGGTCGTGACAGTCCACAAACCCCTTATATAAATCTTTGTTTAATCCAAGTTCAATTTGATTTAAGCATTGAATCCAGGTTGTAAGTCTTGCACGGGATGTGAACTGTGCAAACAAGCTGGGGAAACACATAAAGACTGTTCAAACACATTGACAGGTTGAAGCAAAAAGCATGCAAGCGGGCACACATGCAATTGATCCCGTCTGAGCCTGACAAATCATCAGTGTCGGTATCTGAAATCCTTATATGACTTTATTCTCATTTTAGATCATCCAGTGAACATTCACACACCTCCTCTAATTCCCTTACGCTAACATGGGAAGCTCTTGCATGAAACCGGAACGCTTTATACACTGATCCACAAATTACTGTGCATAAGCAAAATCATGTTCCTGAAAGGACGTCTTAATTGGATGAAGCAGGGAATGTTTTCAGATCGGAGAACACTGCTAAGAGGGAGCACGATCAAAGAGACGGTTATCATAATTACAATTGATTTGCATATTGTTTTACTCCATTACTAAAAACAATACAGTTCACTCAAAAAATAGTCATCATTTACTCACCCTCATGTTTCATTCTCATATGACTTATGTTCTTCAGTGGAACACAAAAACAGAGGTTTAGCAGAATGTCGAAGCTGCTCTTTAACATTCAATTAAAGTGGATGGTGATCATGTACTGTCAAGCTCCAAAAAGGACAAAAAGTCCCATAAAACATCATAAAAGCCTTTTATGAAGTCTTTTGAAGCCATTTGATAACTTTACGTGAGGCACAGACTGAGCTGAAGCTGTTATTCATTGAAAAGTTTGCTTGACAGTTTTGGTCACCATTCATTTTCATTGTACACAAAGAGCAGCTTAGACATTCTGCTAAACATTTGCATTCTACACAACAAAGAAACTCTCTTTTGCTCACCAAGGCTGCATTTATTTGATCAAAGATACAGTAAAAACAGTACAATTGTGAAATATTATTACAATTTAAAATAACTGTTTTCTATTTGAATATATTTTGAAATGCAATTTATTCCAGTGATGCAAAACTGAATTTTCATCATCATTACTCCAGTTTTCAATGTCACATGATCCTTCAGAAATCATTCTATACTGATTTGCTGCTCAAGAAATATATCTTATTATTATCATTTTATGATAATAATCATTTTATGTTGAAAACAGTTGAATATTTTTTAAATATTATTGCGGAAACTGTGATACATTCTTCAAGGACAAATAAAAAAAAGTTAATATTTGTAACTGTAAATGTCTTTATTGCCCGTTTTGATCAATTTAATGCATCCTTGCTGAATAAAAGTATTAATTTCTTTGGAAAAAAATCTTAAAGACCTTAAACTCTATGATTTACTATGAATAAATCCCTCTACACATCAACACATATAGCTGATCCTATAGCTCCTTCCTGTTAGATCATTTAATGTATCCCATTTTAGATGAAAAGTCCTTGCAATCTATTTAAACTTCATCTAATTATGCATATATGTAACCTTGACGTATTGCTCAGCTTGGGTTGGCCTAATTTCTTAACCTGCATTTGGTCTGGATCTATTTGAAAGCCTCATAGTCCAAATGCGACAAAGAAATCATAATTACAGTAATACTATGGTAATACTCTTCCCCGTTCTGTTATTAGTCATCGTCCTGAAATCTCAAATAGAGGTACAAGAAAGGAGATATTTGTGCTGTGCTGATCAAAGATATCCTCAGTGCACTAGATCTTACTGAACACTTCATCGATTACACGGAGGACAGATAATCTTTTGTTTCCCCTTCCCCCTGCGGACTGATTTCCTGCAAGCACTGTCAACAAGAAGGATGTCTGGACTATAAACATGCAGCTAAGCACCAAGCACAAGCCAGAAATACCTGGTGGTGATAACTCCCATCTCTTCGATATGAGGTCTGGACAGGAAAAGTAGTGAAGACACAATTGGAGGGATATTTTGGGGGGCGTTAAAGTGAAATTTGTCATTCCAAGGTTTGAAACAGCATGTGGTGACAACGTCAAGTGTTTGAGGAGCAAGCCACCATTTCAAAAGGTTATGTCCAGCAACATATTCAGATGTAAAATGAAAAATAAAAGGATTTTGTAAATAGTACGAAATAAATCAGGATATTTTAGGCCTATTAGTTGTCAAAATGAGATGACATCATCGCTATGATAAAACAATGGGTCTCATTCCCTCATTTAAAATAATCCCCATTCATTAATATTGCAAAGAAGATAAAAACAAATCCACATATGAATCAAGCAGAAATTTTGTATGGGACATTTTCTTCTTGTGGTGAAGATGTTATCGGTTGTAATAAATTACGGTTCTTATTAGAGCTATTAATATTATCAGGGGTGCACATAAGTGGTGTGCATACATGACCAAAATATAAAATGCGCTGGGTAAACAAGTTCAGACCACTCATTTGCATACCAACATGGTTGATAGCTGTTAATGAACAACTCTAATACTGTATAAGATTTCCATTCGAACTGAAAACATAAATTTAGTCTAATATGTGCGCTGCTGAATATTATTATACGATAGTTATTATTTTCTGTTTTTAAAACATGGATTAAAATAACTTATGAATTTACATTTATCAATTTTACATACATACATACAAACACACATATACAGTATGTAAGATGCATAAATGTAAATGTAATAAATCAATTAATACGGTTATAAATAGAAAATAATAGCAAAATTCAAAATTCAAAATAATTGAAATGTGAAATTTCTTCTACATAGTAATTATTAGAAAATACAATAATACATAAAATATTAACATTTCATTTAAAAGTTATTTTAAATTATTTATGTAATTAATATATAAAAGTATACTAAAAACAATTTAAACATGTTTTATTTATAAAATGGTTGTAGTTATTTTTTCTTTCAATTTTTTATTTTCAGAGAAATATCTGCCATAAATGTAAATAATTATAATTTTATCCTTGTCAGTCAGAATGTTAATATTGGTGTATCTCTATTTCAATTATTAGTGAATCAGACCCATTGTCCCATTGTTATGTTTAATATTAAATGGATTTATTAATATGCTGCTGACATAACCGTCTCTGTTTGGACAAGACAGAGATGTGTTTATTTGAAGAGTCGTGGTTTGGAAGAGCCTACCTTGGTGCGGGGATGAAAATTGCGAAATGCGCTGGTTTTGAATACAGTTCGGTTTCTCCTGCATATGATAGCAACCGCCATAATCACCATAACCATCACCAGCGATACAGGTATCAGGACCGCCAGTATCCAGAGGTTACTAGGCAGATTCTTCACCACCGCTGTTTACACACAAACACAAACATAGATTGGAAATCAATAGACTCATTCACAATGCTTGCACATGTTTTCCGCCACTTGCGTCTCCAGCACACTCTCTTACAGTAATCCAACTCCCGTCTCCTACTGTCTGTGGTTAGCTCCTAATGAGCTGAATCTGTCTTTCTGATGTAGCTCCTATCTGGGAGATTAAACCCCCACTGCTGGGTCTGATTGTGTATTATTCATACAAAACTGGGGCTTTGCTCGTCTCCGGCAGGCAAACTGGGCTTGACGCCCCAGTTGAGAGCTCAGTAAACTTGTGTAAACTCTCTACACCCAAATCCCCTGCGCATTCTCTAGCACGGTGTGAGATAGCTATAGACCTCATTTGGAAAAAATAAGTCAGCATTATCATACTTACTTTATTTGGGTGCTTATTAAGTCAAAGTAGAATTTCCACTTTGAGTTAGAGTTTCACTTGATAAAACATTTCTGTTGTCTGTTCTTGCATGAATAAATGTAACAAGATTTTCACATTTTCTGCCATAAATGTGAGTGGAGCAAAATCTGATGCTAAGGTAATGGCAAAGCAAGGTTGCTAGCTAGGTACTTATTTGCCAACCCTGATATTTTGGTCTCTAGAATTGGCTTTGCGCGCTTCAGTATGTGTAGTAAACGAAACCGCGTGTCTGCACCATTCACTCACACAGAGACACACAGAACATGTAAGATTCATATTTAAATAGTCTTTCTGCGGTTTAATATTCACAGACACTAGTCCATATCACCATTTGATTTAAGTGTACTGACCTACTTTTGATTTATCCATTCAAAATTTGGCAGATTCTGCGATATTCTGCGTTATTATACAGTAAATTCTATTTTTATGACTGGATTCTGCGATTCCGTCCGCGTTTTCTGCATCACTGAAATCATTGGGCCCTAACTGATGAGTTGCCAGCGTAAGACTATGTGCCGGGGCTCAGACCTGGACAGACCCAGCCCAATTTAACTCCTGGGGTCAAAACACCAAGAATGAGCATTAGCACCGCTAATATAAACTATAATGTACTAATCACTCTTGACACTCTTAAACATATACAGAGTTCTGGCATGAAACTCTAGATGGCGCAGTCCGATAGGTCTAACTCAATCTGACCTAATGACATCATAATCACATGGCACAGATGATTGGTTCTCTCCTAGATCGGTAGCCAGTGAGCTCGCTGCTCAACATTTAAATATATGACTAGTGCTGCTGTAGCAGTTGCAGCTTGCTTCAGAAACCCTCCACCTTCCCCAGCTCCACCTGTATAGATCTGCTACGAGGTGATTCATGAATGCTATATGGGGGTTATTTCATGTATGTTATTTTTGCAGCAGCAATATTTCTTACATGCTCACAGCAGCATGTTGTGGATGTATTGGCAGTAGCAAGTCTCGGTACTTGCTCTGCCGCAGAAGCAGCAGCAGCGTAGCAGATCTATTCCGCCAAGACCAAATACATTAACACTGCATTGTACATTACCATGCCAATCCCTCCGAGAGTTGTCATGACAGAAATACAGTAGTTCTAGATAAGATAGACAGTAAACACTCACAAAAGCATAATTTTTCCTGTATATAGAATCTAAATGATGGTTCGAAAATATACTGAGCTAGATGAGTAAATTATATACATACGCTCTGCTTGAACTTGGACGAAGTAGCCCAGAGAGAGAGCCATGGTTTGAGAGTCCACCGTGTTGAGGGTCTTAGCTGCAGCAGTGCCAGTTATGGGAGAGCCATCTACTTGTATGTAGTAGGTCATTTCAGCTTGGTTCTTAGGACCAGACAGTCGTCGGATGCTGACCATCTGTATGAGGAAAACACTCTGAGTTCATGTTTGATGTTTCCAATACAAACTTTAGAAATTCTAAACTCCACACTGAATCGGACACGAGGGCAATTTTCAGTTTTAAATGGGCCATGCTCTACACATTTGTCACATTTTTTCCACTTGAATTCCATGTAGAAATGTAGAAAACAGATGTCTATATGCAAATGACATCTTTATGATTAGCTAACCTCTTTGCATTCAAAATGAGTAACATACTCCCCATCCACCGTTTTAATGAATAAATAAGCTTTTATTACAGTATGTCGCAGCCATGAACACATTTTGCCACTTGCTAATTGGTTGTACTGGGGGCGGGGCTCACTCTAGTCTAGAGCATTTGATTGGACAAAAACCTGTGTAGTGCAGGATGAGTCATCAAAATATTTGGTCTGTTTCTCAGTACAAGAAAAACTACAGACATAGAACAAACTGGTGGCACACCTGGACAGTGTAATCGCCTACAGTCGTGGCTCTCCTGAAGCGGAGGCCACGTCGACTGGCAACCAGAAAGAGCTCCGCCAGGCGCTGCTCCATTAGACTAGCAAAGCTCTGATAACTCCCCTCAAGAGAAGAGCTGTCAACGTCCTGAATTACTGGAGAGAGAGAGAGAATGACAGAGAGAGATGAAGCAAGGTGACAAAGAGAACATACCTTTCTTACACTTTAAGTCTAAAAAACTGCAATTACTACAGAATTGACCTTGGTAAAAGGATTTGTTCTCCTGACAGTGATAAATAGGGATGAACGGGGAAAAGAAGCGGGAGGAAGAGTCAGCTAAAGCAACAGAGAGAACATTGAGTGCAACTTAGAGCTAGAAATAGCTTTTTCACACTCAATATTCTGATCCAATGTGATCTCAAATCAGTTGATGGAGGAAGCTAAATAATACATCAATAGCACTCCTCAGAGAAGAAGGCTCTCTGTGTTTAAAAGAAGCGGGGAGAAAACATTAGCTAGACTTAATCACATGACATGCTGGCAAATGGTTGTCTGGGTGCTGGTTAGCAGCTGAACTGTTGAGGTAATTACCTGTGATTACCCAGTAATCTCGGGTTGCTACTGAAGTGTTAAGGTTGTGGTACTCTAGAGCTGTGAAAAGAGAGAGAAAGACAGACAGATGTTTACTAGAAGACCATTCTGGGAAAAACAAAACAAAACTGAATTTTGTCATTTACTCATTCATTGGCGAGGATAAATGAGATTTTTTTTTATCCTATCAGTCTAATACATAAAATAAGCAGATCAATTTTTGCCAAATGATCGTGGGACATTATTTTTTAATTTGCATACTTAAGATAAAATGTTTACTGAGAGTAAGATTTGAAAATAAGATAAAAAATGTAATATAATTATGCATTTAAAATTTTTTACAAAATATATTTTCTTATCCATGGCACACAGGCATTTTATTTCTACATTCTTTGTTATATTTGTTAAAATTATATTTTACTTTAATAAAAAAAAACTTGAATAAAAAAAGTGAATATTGAATATTAACATAATATTCATTTAATAAAAATTTACATTAATTATATATAATATATTGTTTTCTTTTCTATTATATTTTTAATAATTATATATAACATATTAATAATTGATGATTATATGTTACAAAAAACCTGAATTAAAAAAATAATATTGAATATAAATATAATATTACATGCACAGATATTTAATTTATTATTAATTATTATATCAATAATTTTATTCATTATAATTAATAATCATATTAATGTGAATCTACATGATATTTCATTCATATATACATGATTTCATTTGAAGCACATCTGGACTTTTAAGGTGAGATTATTATCACAATACTGATATCAAATAATAATAATAAAACAGGGAAAAAATAGCTGTTTAAAATGGTTTTAGATGGAGTATAGCATGTCGCCCAGCAGAACAAGTCAACTTTCCAAAAGTTTTTCATATCAACTACCCATCAGAAAAGGAGAATGTTATGAGTCCTGGAAAATGTCTTTTGGATCAACCAAAACTGAGGATCTCTGCCTCAAGGAAAACAAACTCATGGATTCAAACAGAAATAAACATGAACTACCATTTCAATGTGCATTAACATATAAACACAAGCCGTGCAGCAAGTAAATGTAACATCAAGCGGTAAACACAAGCTGAAACTTACGCTCAGCGTTGATCAGAGGGGGGAAGAAGAGAAAGTAGCCCACCAGCTCGGCAGTGAGCTGGTTAAGGAGACCGCTGGACACAGTACCGTTCAACGGAGTGCTACCGTTCCACACCACATACACCAGAGTGACTGCCAAAGAATTCCCCGTTTGATACGTGTTCAGAATCTGTCCGAAAACACAAACAAACTATAAATCCAAATCCAACAAACGAGTCCTCAGAGGAACGGCGTTATCAGACCTCTGAAGATAAGCCATTTATCAAACTTTGTTTTCAAGTTCAATTGAAAAACTACCTCAACAGAAAGAGTCCCATAAGAGTCCTCCACTTTCTCCTGCGCCTCAGCAAACACATTTTCCAATCGTTGCTCCATCATTTGGATGAAGCCGCAAGACTTGATGTTGTCCATTGGCCCAACAAACCTGAGAACTATATGCAGGAAAACAATAAACTGTTAAACAAAAACAGATCCCACATTCTAGTTACCAATCATTCTAGTTACCAAGTTTCAGCTGTCTAAAATGCAATTTCACTAACAATAAATGGCGGTGGGCTTAAGACTGGTTGGATATGTAATGCAAAAAAGGCTAAACAAAGGTGCTCAAGTATGAAACTTGTCAAATAGATCATTTACAGTCAGATTTTCCAATAAACTTCAGTTGGAAAAGAATCGTACCCGTTTTGAGTTGCAGGTGGATGCCTAGGCTGGGCAACCATGGGGCCACAGGATTGGGGATGGCCAACACCACGGGAACATACTCTCTGATGTCATTCAGTAGCTTGTCAAAGCCATAGGAAACTAATGTGTCCATCACAACAGAGGCCACCAACACGGACTTCCCTCTCAAGACGTAGTAGCCCACAGTCACATTAGAAGGCGTGCAGATATCTTTTTCCAACTAGAGAGAACTCAGATCATGTAAAATGGCATGGATATCCATAGTGTATATCTAACAGTAACACAATTAATTTTTTCACCATTTTCATCAGCTCCTTGGCTAGTTCTTTTTAAAAGGTCTACACCACCATTCAAATGTTTGGGGTCAGCAAGATTTTTTTTCTTTTTAATACTTAGGTACTTTTTAAATTTTTAAATACTTTTATTTGGCAACGATGCATTAAATCAATCAAAAATTAAGACATGTATAGTGTTGAAAAAGATTTATATTTCAAATAATCTTTCTATTCATCAAAGAATCCTTTAAAATGTATCACAGTTTCCACAAAAGTATTAAAGAACCAAATCAGCATATTAGAATGATTTCTGAAGATCATGTGACACTGAAGACTGGAGTTATGATGCTGAAAATTCAGCTTTCATCACAGGAATAAATTACATTTTAAAATATAATAGAATTTTAAAAAAGCATAAAAAAGCAAAAAAGCATAAGCATAAGCATGGGTAAGCATAAGAGACTTCTTTCAAAAACATTATATTATTTGAGTCAAGTTGACTGACCATCTCTCTCTTTTTACTCCAACATAAACACACACACAGCCACACACACGCACTATCTCTCTTTCTGTGTTCGTGTGTAGATAGTGATTGTGTCGTCTCCTGCTGATCACCTCCAGGGTCTGTAATCATACAGAACCTCTGATCTGATGGACAGTTGACGAGGAGGAGGAGAAAGAGGAGGGGAAAAAAATCACATAGTGAGCGAAAAAGACAAATATAGAGACAGATCTTGAAGAGAACAGATTGAGTCATTCGGTACAGAGCTTAATAGACACAGACGGTTGCTCTTCAAATGCTAATAACAACCTTTTCAGTGGTCATTCACAATTAAAGAGACAGTACACCCAAAAATGCAAATTTGGTCATCATTTATTCATTCTCATGTCATTACAAACCCATAAGACTTGCATGACTTGTATGAGAGTTTGGAATGACATGAGGCTGATTAAATGATGAGAGAATGTCAATTTTTGAGCTAATTGTTCCTTTAAATACTCTATTTAGTCGACTGCACTCCCCTCAGCATGTTGTCTCTGCGGTTACCATGATATCGATTCTTTATTTGCAGCATATGAGGTACCAGCGCTGTGCTATTTTTGGCCGTGCCTTTCTGACGGACAGACGTGCAAATGCTCCTTCGGCTTCAAACCAAGTGTTTCATAAGACGGCCCTTTCTCAGCGCTTGAAAACAGGGAGATGTTCTACACAATCACACTCAATGAGCTGCATACTGAACATACACAGGAAACACCTCCCACACAGCCTCCCACCACACTGTCCTCTACTAAACTACAATCCCCATGATGCAATTGTGATAAGGTCCCAGAGGACTGTGGTCAAAAGCACTGTGCTTATCTTGATGCTGCTGGATTCTACTGTATAAGGCATATTTTACTGTGTTTCCAATGGCAACCAAGTATTCCGATTAGTTCTTTTCATTATTTATTTAGCATTTCTCATTTCATGTTGCAGTGGAAGAGAAAGAAAAGGGTTTGGATAAGCTTACTACCATTTTTATTATTGCTGCAGTTTATAATCTGTATACTGTGCATAGTAAGCAAATTATTTTTAAATTATGCATTAAATCTTGGATAACCTACCTCATTTGCCCTTTAAAAAACAGATTTATAATGTTACAAAAGATATCTATTTCAAATTAATGTTGTTCTTTTGACCTTTCTATTCATCAAAGAATCCTTTAAAAAAATGTATCAAAATATTCACAATATTAGGCAGCACAACTGTTTTTAACATTGATAATAATAAAAAATGTTTCTTGATTATTTGAATGATTTCTGAAGGATCATGTGACACTGGAGTAATGGCTGCTGAAAATTCAGTTTTGCATCACAGAAATAAATTACATCTTAAATATATTCAAATAGAAAATAGTTATTTTAAATTGTAATAACATTTCACAGTTTTTACTGTATTTTTGATCAAATAAATGCAGCACTGGTGAGCATAAGAGTCTTCTTTCGAAAACATTAAAAAATCTTACAAACCCCAAACCTTTGAACTTCTATAGCAGGTATTTTCCTTCTTATTAACGGCCAAAGCCACTGCGTAGTGGCTTGCGGCTCAAAACACATGCAAAACCACCAACCTGAACACGGACGTTGCTGTCGTTGAACGCTCTCTGAAGTGCCTGTGTGAAACCTTTAGACAGGTTCTGTCTCATTTCAGCTTCTAGGCGATTTCGTCGCATCTGGATGGACAACACTGAGGGAAAAATTGATACAACACATATGAAAAGCATGATTTTCTAAGCATCTCAAAGCAGCCCAGATCCCAAGGGAGACAGCCATGCCTGTGAACATGTCTGTTTACAGTGAACATATGTTGGTTTCACTACAGTGCATATGCTGTCACTGTAGAATGTCGGAGAGGAGGAGTAAAATTACTGCATATGGTAGGGGAGCGCGGGGCACAAAGTAACGCGGGGTTAGTTGTAACACACATGGTTTGAATATTTCCACACATGCTAGCATAACAAAATTACATGATTGCAATGTGTTCATTGTCAAACTCGAAAATCAGATAATTTGTAATTCTGAAAAAACGCCATTATTTTATTTGAAAAAAATAATTATTTTATTTTATTAACAAAATATTTTAGTTTGTCTTGTATATATATTTTTTTCATTTGATCAGATAACATTTTAAGCTGCTATATGGTCATGTTACAACGTGCCCCTCAGATGTTACAATGTACCCCACCTACGGGGCATGTTGTCACATTTCACTTCCAATTTCTGAGGGTAAATAAAAAAAAACGTATACACTGTAATCATGAAACAAAGCGATATATTTGTACTAGACAAGTGTAAAATTACTGTGAATAAAAAAAATTATATTCTGAACCCCATGTGGATTTACACAAACTGAGAAAGTCAAAAAGTGTTACTTTGTGCCCCGCTCTCCCCTAATATTATTTGCATAATAAAGCCTTTCACAAGATTAAGTAGATGTGCATTTGTAAACTGGTTTTGTCATTTTTCTCTGTTGTAATGAACTGAGCATAATTTACACGTCAAAATGTCTTTGTTATTTAATTTTAATTTTAATTCCATACCTGTTGATTATTTTTAAAATACAATTAAAATCGAATTAAAAAGACTGAAATATTTTAGGCTAAGTGTGCTAGACTAAATATCTAATATCTAAGTTTATATTAATAATTCATTTTTATTATTTTTAATACTTATTTTATATAACTTATATTTTTTTATTTTATATTATATTATTTTTATGCCATGCCATAGCCAAACCTATTTTCATCACAAGAACGGATAGTTTAAAGTATGACAAATAATAAATAAAGCACTGTACAAAAGATTTTTCTTTTAATTTAAGTCTAAATTGTGTTTAAATTGTGATAGAAAATCTTTTTTTTCCCTGATAAGACCTTTTTATTAACATCCATTAAATAACTTTCTGAAAAAAAAAATGTTTCCTTTATATTTTTATTATTTAATAAAATGATGAATTCATTTCTCAAAATGTAAACAAACAAATGCAAAAAAACAAAAAAACAAGAGCATTTACATGCGAAATCAGGGTAACTGTAAAAATAGGTGTCCTGATTGGTTTTGCTTAAAATGCAACAAATGTTTTCCCACAAAAACTGTTTATGTCTAGGTATGATGTTATGTTTTACTGTCTATACTATCGGTTAAACATTATTTCAATGCAAAATCTACAATTCAGCTTAATAAGCCACTAAATTTTCTGTAATGGAATGTAAACTGCATTGATTTACACTGATTTGTGGCGTATTTGTGCCATTACTAAATTTGCCTAATTTCTTTAGTGAATTTTCACTAAAAACAACGAGGAGGCACTCATACAGTAAACAGGGGCTCACCTGTTTTCACCCATAATCTTTCGGTCACGTTACAGGTCAAAGGTGAACTGTCAGTAGGAGGGGTGCTCGGTTCATTCGTGGTACTTCCAGAGGTAGAGACAACAGTGGTTTGAAGAGGGGTTGTCGTTGTTGTGGTTGCTAAAGTGGTTGTAGGTGTTTTTGTGGTTGTTGGTGCTACTTTTGTGGTGGTGGTAGTTGTAGTGGTAGTGGTGGTTGTCGTCGGTGGTTCCGTCTCGGTTGTCGTGGTCTGGGTGGCTGTAGTGGTCGGCATGGTGGTCGTGACCTCTTTCACCACAACGATGGCAGTGGGCGGAGTCACAGTCATTGATGTCACAGTTAAGGGCGTGACAGTCGTGGTGGTCACTGTGGTGAGTTGGAGACTGTCGCTGGTCACAGTGTGGGAGTTGCTGCTTGCTGAAGAGCCGGACGAAGCATTTTCAGCCCTTTCAGAAGTGCCGTTAAAAGCGGAAAAGGAGACCGAAGTTGTCACATTGTCAGTGAGTGTAGCATCTGTCTCTGCCACAATCATGAAAGAGGATCCCGGGGCGGTGGGAAGATCAGGGTTTCTGGGGAATTCACTAAGAGTCTCGTCTGAAAGCAGAGAACGTTTGAGTGAGCCACCTCAGGAGCAGGAAGTGAGATCGAGGACACACATGATCGCTCGCTGATGGTGAAGAATGACACATAGGACATGTGGGAGAGGACAGATGTAGCTCTGGGGGATTATGCAGTAGCGGGACTTGTTGAAGTGTATAATTTTTGCGCCACTAGTGTCATCAAACCAAATATAACCGAAGATAATGATTTAATTTTCCATTGATCAGACAAACAGTTTCAATGAGAGGCAATGGTGTGAGGTTGGGCTAAATGCCATGCGCAAAAATTACATACTTCAGCTTTAACGTCAACATGAAATCAAAGCTGACCAAATCAGGATTATTAGGGTTATAATATACATATTAAAAAAGTTTTTTTTATTTCAGCTAGTTATTAAGGTAGCATTTCTGATTTAGTTTAATTTAGTGTAATTTGATGTACTTAAATAACTAAAACTGCAATACAAAAAATAATACAAACTTATTTAAAAACTTTAACAAAAATTCAAATGAAAACAGAAAATATTCAAATAAAACCTGATTCAAAATATAAATAAAAACTATAATAGTATCTCAGTGATACTAAAATAACACCACTGCTCAAAAAGGGTCAGTAATGGTCGGTAATGCTCACTATAGCTGCATTTATTTGATCAAAAATACAGTAAAAAAATATTATTACAATTTAAAATAACTGTTTTCTATTTTAATATATTTTAATATTCCTGTGATGCAAAGCTGATTTTTCAGCAGCCATTACTTCAGTCTTCAGTGTCACATGATCCTTCAGAAATCATTCTAATATGCTAATTTGCTGCTCAAGAGACATTTATTATTATTATCAATGTTGAAAACAGCTGTGCTGCTTCATATGTTTGTGGAAACTGTGATATATGTTTGTTCAGGATTCTTTAATGAACAGAAAGTTCAAAAGAACAGTGTTTATTTGAAATAGAAATCTTTTGTAACATTAAAAATATCTTTACTGTTACTTTTGAACACTTTAATCATCCTTGACGAATAAAAGTATTAATTTCTTTGAAACGATATATAATATTAACCAATAATATCAGTCTAATATTTCACAATCCAATCAAATCCTGATGAAGTACTAAATATATTCACTTTTTACTCAGAAATACGTCACGTTGCGCAAGTAAAATGGGATGTGAATGCAATTTCATGTTGACTTTAAAGAGATTATTGTAAAAAATATTGATGATGATGATTACGATAACAGCAAACACAATGACCTTGAAAATAATGATGACGGTGATGATGAACAAATGGCGAAGAAAGGATGATGACAACATCAAATCAGCAAAGTCCCTGAAAAGAAACCCCTTTAAATACACCACTTCTTGATTTCTGTACTCAGCATTATTCAACAGCTCACAATCTAGCGGTACCTGAGCTAGTGGTCAAGACACTGTTGATTTTATGTGCCGGGGACGGTGGATTTGGCACTCTGACGGCCTGCTCCCCAGCGGACTTTTGATTGGTGCGATTGTCACTGTTGCCGGGTGGGGAGGGCAGAGAATGCACCAGCGCCTGAGGCTGTGTCTCTGCAACCTGCAGGGTCTGCACCGAGGCGAACACAGGCTGCTCCCTTGTGCTTTCTGCCCTCGCTGGTGGGGAGTGGTACAGCGAGGCGAAGTCTTCATCCTCCAGCAGCGACGAAGAGACTGTGATGTTTGGGGCTCCGGTTGGATCCTGGGAAGGACTGAGGGGTTGTCCTGATGCCTCGAGTCTTGCTTCATCTGTAATGAAAAAAGTTGTGTTGGTGCAAAATCATAAACATCTACCGTTTTTGTCTTATAGGTGGAAATGCACTAGAGGAAATCCAAAAAATAAGCGTATGATTTCATTTGTCGAGCCAAGATTTTAAATACTTGAAGGCATTAGATGCAGCTGCATTAAGCTTCCAAACCTAATGACACGCACTGGTATTTAATCAGCATTAATGATAATGCGCTGTATTAAATTGCTCTCAAGATATTTGAAAAAATTTACGGGGAAACAAGCCTAGCAAGCTGCCTCGCTGCACAAGGGAGCTCCTTCTAAGGGAGCATCATGTCATGGAATATTTTAAATGACCGATTTTGTAACTCTACTTTTGCACAGAACACTCGATTCGCAATTAATTTCAATAGAGTTTGTCGTTAACATCTTGCAAAGCTAACAGCGCAACACTTCTATAGTAGGAATAAAAATAATTATCTTAATCAGCACGTTTGTCTTTTTTTTTACAATGAAAATATCTTAATACAAGATACATTTACTGAAAACCTATAAAATTGAGTGAGACATTAAAACTTGTTCTCAGAAAATATATTTAGAATTCAGGTAATTTTCTTGTTTAAAGCATAAATCTCACTAAATTTTGTTATAGTATGTTTAAAAAACTATCTGCCAATGGGGTAAGAAAAATATCTTATTAATTCAAGATTATCTAAAAACAAGTATTATTATCTTTATAAAAGATAAATGCATCTTGTTTTAAAACATGTATGGCAATCAACATTTCTCTCTTCTGGCAGCCATCTTGGATGGATTTATCTCTTATTTAATCTAGCAGTTTTTGTAAACACATACATTGATGTTCCTTTCTAAAGATTTGTATATACAAGATAAATATTTTCAGTAATGATACTTATAAAACAATAATTGTAATTGTTAATGTAAAACAAAGTTTAGAAATGATTTTGCTTTATGCTTACAACAAGAAACTTTCTTGAATTTGAAATATATTCTCTGGAAATAATTTTTAAAATTAAAACTTTAAAAATTATTTCCAGAGAATATATTTTTACTGTAAAAAAAGACAAAAATGCTAATTAAGAAAAATATTTATACAAGTGTGCGCATTTAGTGAGGCAAGTTTAAGTCCCTCTAAAATAACATAACATAACATAACATAACTCTCTTGGGCAGCTTTGAATTATTTAGCTTGCTTAACGTTTCAGAAAAGAAAATCACAACAGCCCTTCTCTCGATTGCCATCCATGACTGTTGGCAAGTCGATCTGAGATGATTAATAACGTGATTAATCGACTTTTACAGCTCTTTACTTTATTTTTATCTCGGGGAACATAACATGGATGGAGTCATACAATATAGTGACTTGTGGACATTAATCATAAATCCTTTAGCCGGAGGACCAAATTAGAAATGTGCAGGGCTTCTAGGGTGCTGCGAGCTCTCTCTGTCCCTTTCTCACTCTCTTACTGTGCTCCTAGTGAGCAGCATAAAGCTTCAGTCCTTTCCTAATGGGTTAATTAACTCACCCAAATACATCTTATATGAGATTAGTCACAAACAACATAAACATAATATTGCAACTTACATCTGCACAAAATGTTGCAAAAGCACAAGTAAATGTGAACAAAGTACTCTACTGATGATAGACAGACAGACAGGCAGACAGATTAGTGTAAAATTATCTGGATGGATTGGATAGTGTAGAATTACCTGGATGGATGGATGGATGGATGGATGGAAGGATAGTGTAGAATTATCTGGATGGATGGATAGTGTAGAATTGCCTAGATGGATTATGGATATTGTAGATTTATCTGGACAGATAGATATTGTAGAATTATCTGGAGGGATGGATGGATAGTGCAGAATTATCTGGAGGGATGAAGGGATGGATGGATGAATAGATAGTGTAGAATTATCTGGAGGGATAGATGGATATTGTAGAATTATCTGGAGGTATGAAGGGATGGATGGATGAATAGATAGTGTAGAATTATCTGGAGGGATAGATGGATATTGTAGAATTATCTGGAGGTATGAAGGGATGGATGGATGAATAGATAGTGTAGAATTATCTGGAGGGATAGATGGATATTGTAGAATTATCTGGAGGTATGAAGGGATGGATGGATGAATAGATAGTGTAGAATTATCTGGAGGGATGGATGGATAGTGTAGAATTATCTGCAGGGATGGACGGATGATGGATATATAGTGTAGAATTATCTGCAGGGATGGACGGATGATGAATAGATAGTGTAGAATTATCTGCAGGGATGGAGGGATAGTGTAGAATTATCTGCAGGGATGGACGGATGATGGCTAGATAGTGTAGAATTATCTGGAGGGATGGATGTATTGGATAGACAGACAGACAGATAGATAGACAGATAGACAGATATTCATCAATGCCATATTTTAAAAAATACAATCTTTTAAGTTGGGAAAATTTGATTACATATACAGATCTTTGTCTCATGTATAAAATCAAACATGGACTGGCTCCTCCGGTATGGAGCCAGTTTGTAAACATAGCACCAACTGGTTAAACAAGAAGTGCAGCAAGAGGTGACTGCATAGTCCCGTTAAGAAAAAGTGCATTCAGTCAAACGGCATTTTCGGTTAGGGCTGCTTGTGAGTGGAACTCCATCCCAACTCACATTACAAATTTGAATACTTATGCCTCTTTTAAGTTTCACTTAAAGAAGTGGTTAATAGAGAGTCAACATTGTCAACATTAATTTTATACACTAATTTCTGCTGCCGTCTTGTCTTTTCTGCTCTACCAGTTTGAGAATTTTATGTTATGTATATGAACATGGTTGGTTTAGTACTGATCGAATGTTTAAGGCTAAACTACTGTTACTTGTTAGTATGCTTACATTATCCTTGCCTGTATATTAATATTATTGGTACATTGCTTGTCATGTTGTCTGACAGTGGGATTGTGTGTGTATGAGTGAGGTGGTGTTGATTTGTTGGTTCTATGTATAGCCTAATTTTTAAGCAGATTTTTATTGTATTGGGATAGAATTATATGTATAGCATAAACTTTACATGTATTTTGGAGTATGTATGTATTATGTATAGATTATTTCTTTTATATTTTTAGGGTGACAATTTTAAAAATAGCCTTCTGGCTAATTCTGGCACATTGTACATTTATGAAATTACTAGATAGGGATTACCTGATAGATAGATAGATAGATAGACAGATAGATGTAATCTGGTGATCTATCCATAATTACACCAAATATCTATCATAAAGATGGATGGTTAGATAGGCAGTTACACAATATATAGCAAGAACAAAATCAAGAACCTTTAACTGGGTATTAATATATTTTACCTAAAAAACAAGACATTCTAATTAAAAATGATTTTCTGCATAATGCGTGTGTGTGTGTGTGCAGATTCTGTAAGCGGTCACGTTGAATTCCTATTCTCCAACAGACAGCCACCTGCTCCGACAGTTAGAACATATGGGATTGTCCTGATTAACAGTCAGCTAGAGAGAAGATGTGAAGGGGGCTCTGGCTGTACTTCCAACCCATCGTCCTAATGACTGCACTTCCTGTGAACGGGATAGCAATGAACTCTGAAAGCTCTAGATACTTAAGTATGCTTGTTGCCGGCCTAAGAAGATTTGCGTATAAATGACTTGGGTCGGTAAGCTGAGCCAATCAAAGTCTACTGCCAGGCAGAACGGAGTGAGTTGATTGGAAGACAGGACGATAAATGCCAAAATGGCTTCATCCATCACAGTCCCTAAGAGCGTAGCCTGGTCTCAAACGGGTCCCGCTGCCACTGCATATTGTTCTATAAATGGGAGCTTTCTAATCAATGATGTCAAGTGTTAAAAATGAAGGGCATGTTTCATATTCTGGAACCGAGCTGTTGTCCTGCTTTAATGTAACTGGAGATCAGTGGGCTAGAAAGACATGGACCTTCTCCATTATGAGGACAGGTGGTGAAGGGGGCTGATGGGTAACAGGCCAAAGCCATTGAAGCCCATGAGGGAGTATATGGGGGAACTGAAGCATGGAGTCACACCATTCCAGCAGGACATATCTGTGTCCATAGTCTATTCATAGATCCCATCTGCTTTTGTTGCATCTTGTTGTGGCATCACAAAGGCAACGGCATTACATCTGTTTATCATAAAGTAAATACTTCAATATTTAAAGGGATATTTCGTGCAAAATGTGTCATTCCAAACCCATATGAATACAATAGATCTTTTTTTTTTTATATCCTGGCCATTTGTTTTCCAACACAACGAAAAGAATGAGGACTGAGACCGTCAAGCTCAGAAATGACAAAAAATAACCACAAAATATCATAAAAGCGAACATACTGTATGACTCATGCACTATATTCCAGGTCTTCTGAAGCCATTTGATATGTTTCTGTGAAAAACAGACTGAAACATAAGTTCATTTTCTCTAAATAGCAATGTCCAATTTGTGAACAAATCAGTTGTGAACGAATCAGTTCATCCCTGAAGAGTAAAAGTAGTAATGTCTAATTTGTGAATGAATTGTTCTTTTGAGGCAGATATATTCAATGAACCTGTTGATCCAATTCACAAAACTGATATGATCGATTCATTAACAAATCAAACTGATCTGTTTCTTGAGGTCTGTTCAGAGCCTTTGTATAGCATCAGAAGACTTGCAATATGACACATGAATCGCATTGACTACATTTATAATGTTTTTATGATACTTTTGTGTCCTTTTTAAGCCTGAAATCTCCAGTCCCCAATCACTGTTTTTGCATGAAAACAACAACAGTATATTATTAAAAACTTCTCATTTTATGTTCCACAGAATAAAGAAATGCATACAGGTGTAGAACAACATGAGAGTAAGTAAATGATGACAGAATTTAGATTTTTTGGATCAACTATCCCCTTAACAAGAGGTGCGCCATAAATCTAAACTTTTCTTGATAGTACTATGTAACTTGCAAAGAGGATTTTGTTATTTTAAAACCA